GTTATCTATACTCTTCTTACGTTCACTGTTTAAATTCTTCTTTCAAGTTCGCTTCAGTTTCTTCTCAAGTGTTGCCCTTAAATCCAGTTGTTCTTACATTCTCGTCAAATTCCCTTAAAGTTCTCCATGCAAGTAGTACATCTCATCTTCTTTCCAAGATTCCTTCCCAAGTTATTCTCCAGCTCCCCTCAAATTATTTTCAAGTGTTTCCTAAAGTTGGTTCAATTTCCTAACAAATTTTCCTCAATTTCTTCTCACGTTCACTATCCTAGTTATTTTTTTAAGTTCACCTCAGTTTCTTTTCAAGCCTCTCCTTCAAATGTTTGTTCATGTTGTTCTCTAATCCGGCTTATATTCTCTTCCAATTCCTTCTATACCTCCATCAAGCTCCAAACAAAGTTCTCAAGTTCTTCTCATGTTCACTACTTAAGTTCTCATTCAAGTTCACCTTAACTTCTTTTTGCTCCTCAAATTCCTTTCAAGTTCTTCCTAAACTTGCTTCAAGTTGTAACCTATTTTACACCTTGAAGTTTGGACCACCCGGTACGTGAACACCCGGTATCTGGAGGCGCTTCGTTACGAAAAGTGTCCTATTGGAAATATCAATGTTGGTTTTAGGAGTGGAAGATAGAAGGAAGTTGATTTCATTTCTAGGATAGTGTTTCAATCGCCGTTTCCATAAAGCTGTTATTAATTCGCCGTTTGCAACCGTTCCTGTCAAGATATTTCAATTATCTTTGTTGCGCACGAAAGCTCTTGTCATTTAGAAGACGAGGACGAATTAATGGCCCGTATGAATAAAAGTAAGCAAATGCTTATACTTGCAAAATACAAAGTAAATACTCGTAACTGCCCCTTCATACTGGTCTGTTTAGCAGCGCTGCACTGCGTCCTGTCCTTCTGCTTAGAAACGCTGCTAAGTCACCCAGTGCGAAGGAGCACTTACGAGTATTTACTTTGAATTTTGCAAGTATAAGCATTTTCTTACATTCATACGGCCCAATATTTTAGATTTTCAGTCATTATTAACCGGTTTTAGTTTCCCATGTGTAGTGTACTTAACCCCCAGGTTCTATGCTAACTTCACACTATACAAGAACACGGAAATAAAGTCAACACGGCAACGTTTAAAAATAGCCACCCGAATGACGATTCCCTCCAAAACTAAACAAGATCCCGCTTAAATTTGAAAAGTGGCACGTGATCAAACATCTAAGGCAGGGCCGTCTTACGTTAGTTGTAGACAACGCTTTGACCTGAAACAAAGTAGGGAAGGAAAAAAAACACTGAAATTGTGAGAAGTTTGTTTAATAATGATCGTAATTATTAAGATTGTGAAAGCCCGGAAATTTAGTTGATGTACATTAATATAAACAAAGCAAGCAAAACCCAAAGGTGTCGTACTCTCGAAAAAGTATCTGCTGAGGGTAAAAAGAGTACGACGTAAGAAAAACCTCGCACTTTGATTAATACAGTCCAAAAGTTAATTAACAAAATATTTTGTAAAAGTTTAAGCAGTAGATAGTAAATGCATATTATACAATGTTGGTTACACTCAAGGTTAAAAGCAAGTTTTTGGGAACAATGGGCCAGGTAGGAGCAGGTACCTGAATTTTGAGAAAGGGTTAAGAGTACAGGATGTGACTCAACTTTGGTGCAATAGAGTCCTTTTGTTAAAAGCAAGATGGAAAATTACATGGCCTTGTAGGCAAATTGAATTAAAAACAAGATATGTAGAAATTATTGAATCGCAACTCATTTATCGCACATAGATTCTAAACTGAAGAGCTTTGATTAGCGTAATCCCGCTCCTGCAAGATAGGTAGTCCGCCCCTGGTTTCGGGGTTTCGAACCTACAGTTGGATGTCGAAGACAATCGTGGAATTAGGTGTCGTACTTCAATTTTGACTACAGTTTTTTTAACACCCCCGTGACTGCTTCATTCACGGAGAAAATTGTTAGTAACAAACAACAAGTCAGTACATACCTCAAACGAATCGGTAATTTCCACATATTGAAATAAAATTATCAAAAATTCAAAACTTACATGAATGTTACTTCAGGGGCAATACCAAGTAATCAACATCAATAAACATAAATTAGCAAACATTACATCAATAAACATAAATTAGCAAACATTACATCAAAAACGTAAACAATTACAAACAATAGCATAACGGTATCACCCATGTGATTCTGCATTACGGTTAAACCAAGTAAATTTCAAAAACAAAGATTTAAACACACAAAACATATAAAATGTGGCATACAAAAACACAAAACACAGCTTTTCCAACTCTCAAAAATGTATGTATCGTCGTAAGTTGTATATACAGGGTGGAACTTCTCACATGCCTCACATACCCCGCAAGATGGCGCAATAATTCCAAAAGTTAGGTATATTTATTAGACACATTACTCTCGTATTACTGAAAATCATGCAAATATGAGGATTCTGATTCTACTAGTCAAGGAGTCGGTAATAAGCTTTTTTGGGATTTCAATTGTCATTATTAACCATAAAAACAAGGTTGAAACTTGAAATACTTAACACTTACTAGTAGTAGGTAATTTTTGAGATACTTAATACCTTCCCAACTCCATGCGAAATTAATTGCCCAAATATCATCTCGCAAAAATTGATAATAAATGAGTAATGTGGTTAAAACCATCTCACATTGACAACGAATAATAAACAACCATGTTGCCAACCCTAGTAAAGTTCAGGTATTCTCCCCAAGATGGCGCTTGTTATCACCAAGAATATTAAATGAGTCCAGTGTGATTACTCAGACCAATAATAAATACCACTTACTTTTTTGCCAAAAATAGCGGATGATTGCGACCTTAGAGAATCTAAGATTGCGGTACTTTTTATATCTAGTGACTTTAAACGCGCTAAAGTTTAGGCGCCCTCTATGGGAAAGCGGTAGGTGTTACCATTATAATGACAATCGAATCTGCTGACTGAAATTTCATGAAAAATATCGATTTTTAGCGACTTTAGCGCCGCGCTTGGCAAAATCTGGCAACTTGTTTTAAAGGCCCCTCTTAAAACCAGTTCAGGCTGTGCAGGGGGAGGGGCACAGCTTCGCTTTTCCTGTATTTGATTTCTCGTAGCATAGCTACCGCTAGTTATTATGTGTTTTGTTGCTTACGGTCCCGTTAGGGCAATGGCTGTTTTTAGATCCTTCACCAGGAGCCAATCGTTGCTCCCCACAAGATCTCTGGAGACCGTTTCTTCGATGTGTTATCTGGGGAATCCGTTTGGCAGGCATTCCGAAACCTTGTCATAGGGCAAGTCCGCATCCCTTGGTGGCGTTCGAGTCTGCCCGTTCGTCCCGTTCCGACAGCTTCAGTGATTGCGATTGCTTTCGATTCATTATGCTCTTCATTCTTCTATTTTTTTCAAACTTCAAATTCTTCCTAGTTGGACCCTTGTTCTTAAAGCTCGATGGATTTTGGGATTTTTCCTAAAGGCGAGGCTTAATTTCAAGAGTTATCTAAAGAAAGGTATGTCCGCGGTTTTGAAATTGCGAACCTTTTTCACAGCTTGCTTAGAACTTGTTGGAAAGCACCCATTGTCTCACATCAGGCTGCAATTTATCGATAATCAGGGTAAGTACATTGAGCAAAGTGAAATCTTTATATTGTGGCCCGAATGCATGCAACCCTTGAAGATGATTACAGTGTTTTTTCGCAACTGACAATAAACAAGTACTGGGCAAGAATCTTGTCTAGGTAGATGTGCAGGTTAACTCTGTGGATCATTAACCCTGAAGAGATTTGAAAACACTCTTTGCATTTAAAAAAAAAGTTCTTCACGGTAATATGAAGAATCCGAAGCATAGCCGAAGTAACTAAAGATGTTGACGAAGAGCTCCATAATATGGCTTGAGTGTTAATATAAACGAATAGAAGAAAATGAGGCTCAAAATTTTTTAAATTTTTATTTTTAAAAATAAAAAAATTGTTGAGTCTCATTTTCTTCTATTCGTTTGACTAAAGGATGTAAAGAATAAGTATAAGAAGTATAAGAAGAGTTTAAAAACCCGTAGACCCAAAAAATTGAAAAATCTGGGGAATTTAAGGCCACTTAGGAACCAGTTAAATCTCAAGAATCGGAAGAACGTTACAAGGATTGCAAAAATTTGATCAGTGGGAAGAATTATAGATGTGTGAAGTATTTTGAATTCAAATGGATTCTAAGTAAATAATCCAGAAAATCTTAAGAATATGAAGGATCTGATAGATTAAAGAAATCTAAAGAATCCAATGAATTTGAAGATCCTGAAAAAATTGAACGAATGTGGATATTTCCGAAGAAACAAAATAGATTGACAAGGAAAGAAAAATATGTGTTCTGAAGCACCGAAAGTAATGGAAGTGTCTGAAAAATTTGAAAAAACTACTGAATCTGCAAAAATAGCCGGAAAAAAAGAAACTAAAAAATCAGTAGAACTAGAAGACCCAATTCGAACGGTTGGACGATCTTTCAAAACGTGAACTTCAAAAATTTTAGAAAGACTTGAATGTGCATATGAACCTACAGTATAATTGAAGAATAGAATCTGAAAAATACCGGAGAATTTGAAGAAATGGTATAATTTGAAGAATTCTGGATGGTAACAAGAATTTAAAGAAGTCTATCTAAAAAAACTTGAAGAATCGCAATAATTCTAAGAAATAAAAAAATTGATAGACCAGTACAGACAGAGGGATCTACAAACCTAAAACAAATTAAAGACTTCCACGGATCTGAATGTGAAGGAACCAACCAGAGAGTGTGAATAATTCGAACAATCTGAAGTACGATGATGCATTTGAAGAAATGAGGAAGTATTAAAAAAATTACGAAGAAACCATGGTATGATTTTAATGTGCCTTAATTTCGACGTGTAAATAACGAACAGGAAGACGAAGAACAATATACAGGAATACTGCGGTCTTATCGCACGTCTCACTATTCATCTAAAAAACCAATACACGCACTTGCCGATATGAGTAAAATAAAGTTCCAAGTGTTGGCTGCACTTTCAGGTGCGTTACTGATAAAAACGACCAGTCTCGTTAACCCAATCGACTTTCAGCAACAATCAGCGAGGTGTCCGATGGAATGCAGTACGCTTGGTCGGCGCCGATAGTTCCCGTTTTGCTCTCCAAGGATAGTCCCGTTAAGTTCGACAAATCGCAAGCGGTTTGGATAGAAGTGTGCCTCATACTAGGATCGCTCTTGGGGATCCCGCTGACGGTTTGGTTAGTGCGGCACCTCGGAAGGAAGCGCTCGATCTTATTGGCGAACTGCGAAAATTTGTTCGCGTGGCTGGTTATAGGGACGACGAGGTCGGTTTGGGCAATCTACCTTGCGAGGCTGGTCGCTGGTCTGTCTGCAAGTATAGCCTTTGCCGCAGTTCCGTTATACGGTGCTGAGATTGCCGATAAAAATGTGCGTGGATTTATAAGCGGGTTTTTCAGCATAATGATGCTGTCAGGAAACCTGTTGGTTTACTGTGTCGCGCCTTTTCTATCCATTGCCGGCTCTTCGGCGGTCGGAATGTTGTTTCTGATAGTGCAGTTGGTCACGTTTCCGTTCATGCCCGAAAGTCCTTACCATTACATCGTGCAAAACAAAGTGACAGCGGCGAGGAGGTCGTTGGAATTTTTACGAGGTACCACTGACATTGATGAGGAACTGGAGGAAATGATTGCAGGCGTTGCTCGGCAAGAATCCGAGAGGACTTCGGTCGCTGACATAGTGAGAGTGGAAAGTAATCGGAAAGCTTTGCTGATTTTGTTGGTGTTGAATTCGGGTCAGCACTTGGCCGGAGGCAGTGTGATAATCATGAATATTCACTCAATTTTGGAGGGAGCAACAGGAAAAGTGGCACCAAGTACCGTTGCCATCCTATTCTTGTTTACCATGTGCGTAACTGGTTTTATAGGTTCTCGTCTGGTGGATGTATGGGGACGAAAGCCGTTACTGTTGATTTCGGGTGTTCTGACGGGGGCAACACTTTTATTGCTCGCACTATATTTTACATTTCGACCTCAAAACAATGGTTGGGTCCCAATAACTTTAATACTCCTATACGCGGCCTCTTTCCGGTTCGGTTTGGGCTTGATACCGATATTACTTTCAGCGGAACTGTTTCCCACAAACATTAAGGAACTGGGGATCACGCTATCCGAATCGGGATTCACGGCGAGTTCATGTCTGACGATCCTTCTGTATCCTTACGTGAACAACGCTTGGGGATTATCGGCTCCATTTTATATTTTTAGCATTTGCACGTTCCTCGTCTGCGTCTTCGTTGCCTACGTCGTGCCTGAAACCAAACGCAGGTCATTAGAAGAAATTCAATTATTGTTGCAATAGTTCACTCAATTTCACCTAGTCGATTAATCCGCTATTATTTATATTAATAAGTTATAAAATAACATAATTAATTACACAGTGAGGTAAAGGTTATATTTTCTTGACCTTCCAAAACGAGAGTGCGTGTTACCAGGCGCCTATATTTATAGAGACCGTGTTTTACTTACGGCAGCCATCATAAATTGGGCTGAAAATTGTGAAAATAGTGTAACGGTAGCTCTAAATTTGCATTTAAATTTTTTTCGAAATTGTAAAAATGTAGAAGACCGATTTGCCAGTTAATTATTAGCTATTGAAATTGAAAGAATAAATAAGCGAGCATTCGGTTGAATAGAAGGTTGTTTTTCTGCGTCGTTTCATTTCTGTAGAGCATTGCTTCATAAATGGATTCAGGATATCTGGAGACTATATGTGAGGGTTTTGTATACACAGTGTGTAAAGCGATGGGGTATACAAGAGGGAATTTTTTTAAAATATTGATTCATGAAAAAAATTTATTCTTCATGATATTTTTTGCTTGCTTTGAAAGTACCAATAACGTTTCGATTGTTTGTGGTTTGATAGCAATACGCTATCTTGATCATAATGTAGAATGATAACTTTCAATAAAAAAAAACTAATTTTATTATTTTTCCAGATTTCTATAAATAAATTTTAGATTAACCAAACGTTATGGGTACTTTCAAAGCAAGCGAAAAATATCATGAAAAATACATTTTTTTCATAAATCAATATTTAAAAAAAATCCCTCTTGTATACCCCATCGCTTTACACACTGTATATTCGGTTATCTTAATTGTTAGGATAGTCCGATAGTCCATTGAAATGTTACATTTTTTTGGGCTTAGCGTGCGTTTGTCAGAGGACGCAATTTTATTTTTTAGATATCAAAGAGGGGTTAGTCTATAGTTAAATCCAAGTTTGTGGGGTTGTAGCCCGTCCCGCGGCCGCCATCTTGAAAAAAGAGATGCAAATGGTTTTTATGTTTTATCTGATAAACTATTGGTCTCACAAAAAATTTGGTCAGACATTTTTGAATAAGAATAAAATTCTCTACAACTTTGGTTCTGTAGCTTTTAGTCGTATAACCAAAAGTAACAAAGTTATAAACGAAAATTGATGAACATTTTGTAAAAAATTTCAATTGGTGGACAATTAAAAAAAAGATTAGAAATGAATTGCAGCTATGGAAATGTAGATGTGGAAAATAATGCTTGGAATAAAGTGGTCTGACGGGATTAGGAACTGACAGGTAGGTACTAGAAAGAATAGGAGAAGGAAAAGTGGTCATGTGCTAAGACACTTTTAACTTTTAAAATTAGAATGCAATAACAATTACACGAAAACAAAATCAAAGCTATTTTTTAGTTTCATCACTGAAGTGATAAAAGTACAATTTTTGTTACACGTAGGTGAAACGTGACAATTCTTTATAATACGCATTTACTGCAATAGTGATAGCGTGACCTTTACAGCGATTGGCAAAAGGGTTATATTATCATTTAGAGCGGCTCGGGCGGCTCCATAAGATTTAATCACAAAATTTTTGCGCATCAATCGTTTATTTATACGAATAATATTTATTATAAAAGACGATAAAGGGATATTTTAACGATCGAGAGAAAGATGTTAATTTTGTAATATTTACGCGTGTAGGGGCGGAAAGAATCACCATACCACTGAGGGCACTGCCTGTCGTAGAAGGCGACTAAACAGCGGTAAGTCAGCCGCAACCTTAGCGCGTCGAAGTTTCGTGGGCGAAGGTTGTTTGTGGATGCAGAAGAGTTTGACTTCTATTTTTTAATTGTGACAATAGTTCTTAAAGGGTTGTCTCAGTATGGGTAGGATTTCTCAAATTCTTTTCGATCTTGTGATTGAATACCTACGGTCCAGACTCTTTAAATGTGTGCAAAAGCTGGCGGCGCCAGTGAGTCGTGGAATTGAAGCGATTAGCTCAGATAGTAGCGCGGGATTTTGCTGACACTGCGAAAAATCAGCCCACGCTGAGTAGATTTATTAGACGAAAAAATTAGTTTTGTTTCGGGGACGAGATTTGAGCGTCTGAAATAAAAAGGGAAAGGAGTTCAGTTTTAGCCGCCGGAAATTTCGCGTCCAGCCGCGAGAAAAAAACATTAGCATCGAATCTCGAGACCAATCGCGTTAAAAATTCACCTGCAGAGTGTAGGGGGGGGGGGGCCTTCTACAACCACTATTTTTTGTTATAAACCAAATAAACAAAATTTCCATTCTGCAGAATTCTAGAAAAATTCGCACTCGTAATATTTACCACCGAAAAATGCGCCCACCTCTCGGAAAATTCACCACTGGAATATTTCTCATCGGAAAATTTATCTACGGGTTATACTTTATTAAGGAATTTTCCCTCGCAGGAGTCGCTCATTATCAGATTTCTCAATTTCTTTTCGATCTTGTATGTGGGCGAGTGATCCTTGAATACCTACGGTCCTGACCTTCTACGGAATACACATTCCCTAGAAAGTTTGTGGCATTACCAAAGCAAAAATACACGAGGTAAATTCGGTTGGTCCAGCTAGATTCCCGTCTCCTTTGGTGGTGCTTCGGGACCAAATTTTCCAGAAATCCCCTTTCATTCCATCTTGTAATGAGGCGGACGCCTTCCATCAGGTCAGTCTTATTGGGCGGCATCTGGTCTCTGGAGCGGCTCTGCATTTTCCTGTACTGCACAGAACGGTCGGGAATTGAGACATGCCTCAATTTGGTACAGAAACCAATTTCGAAAAAAAATTCAAAGGGCTGTAACTTTTGAACTAGTAGCCCAATCTTGGAACTGTTTGAAATTATGGATTCTACAGGCCACATTCTATAAGAAAAATTTTTTTCAGGGTCGATCTGAGACAATTTTTTTTTCGGGGCTCAAAAAAAGGCAGTGTATAACCTTCCTTTTTTACCAAAAATCGACTACACCAAAATTTCTCGGGGAAACACTTTTTCTTATTAATTTGGGTGCGTAGAATCCAAATCAATTCGTACTTTTTCGATCAGACTTCTCAATCAAAAGTTAGAGACTAGATTTTAAATTACACGTTTTTTTTAAGTGCGTAATATTACCGTGTAAAATTACCAATTGTTTATGTTGTTTATGTATTTTATGTAATTTATGTAACTTACCATTTTTTTAAAAAAAACCGTAATTTTACAGTAAAATTACCAGTAATTTATGTTTTTTATGTAATTTACAAATATTTTTGTAAAATTACCTGTCATTTATGTTTTTTATGTTTTTTTTCAATATTGTATAAACCTTTTTGAATTTTGTGAGTGTTTGAAAATAAAAACACTTGTTAAATTATATATTTTGGTGTATTAAATAAAATACCCAAGCAGTAGGTATTCCGCCATCACGCGTCGTTTGGAGAAAGAAGTTCCAGATCGCGAATTAGGGGCTGTATCATCTTCATTAAACCAATCTAAATTCAACGGTGAATCGTTTACGTTGGTAGTACCGTTGATGGTCTGTGGTAGTACCGATCGAAATGTATCAAATAGGTATTACATTCAATGAATTACATTTATGTAACTTACAAAAATTACGGTTTTTTAAATTAAAAACGCAAGTTACGTAAGTTTCATAAAAGACATAAATTACATAAAAAACCGGCCTCTTGTAAGTTACGCGTAATATAACCGTTTTTGATGTAACTTACAAATCGTTATTTTACAATCCACATCACTAGGTACAGTACTGTCGAGTGTTCTTCAAAGGTCAACGTACCGTTTCCGATTATCCTTTTTATGTGGAATTTGGTACATTTAATTTCCCATAACAATCATCTGAGGGGCTGCCGGGGGGAGTGAAATGCCAACTGACCCCATGTGACGCAAAAAGGCTCTGAACTAGTCCTAGCTTTTTAATTGCTCGGGTGATTTCTGCAAAGCAATGCAAAGGCATTTTCTCGTGCTATTTTTATTAAAGCAATCTTGGCACTTTTCTGGGCTTTTTGGGTCTTGTCAGAACTTTTTCGGTTCTTGCATTTGGAAGATTCCTAGTGTTCAGAGGCTCTTGAAAAATCTAGAGACTAACAGGAAAACGTTAGAAGGCCCCGAAAAGTCCTTCAAATGCCGTCTAGAGTGTTCGAAGTGTTCCTAGGGGGTGTCCAACGCTCTGCCAGGGCTTTAGGTCTTACATTGGTTTTCCCGCTCTTACTTAAAAATGATCTATTTTGATCTCCCGCTCTTGCATGTTAATCATTTATTGCGAAGGTTGTAATTTTTGTGGTGCCTAAAAATTTTTAGCGCAACCCACGAAAGTGGATAGTCCGTCCGATCGACTGCCCGCGTTGCGCGCTATAGCTCAATCGCTACTCGCTAGACCGCCTCATTCATCTATTTTGTTTGCAAAATGACTAAACTCTATTTCTTAATGTCCAAGAGGTGATCCCTCTCTTATATTTCAATCACGTCCTGCTGGGCTTGAAGCTTTTGCGGCCGATTTTGTTTACAAGATCTCTTAGCTAACGTATTAAGTTCATATAAAAGTGTAATCTTTCCCAACCCCCCCCCCCAAATTATCAACCAAGAAATCCCGTCCTCCCTGGTCAAGGATTGGAACTGCTGTGGTCTTCAAATAGTATTCACCACAATTGCCGCGTGTGGAAGTTTTAAGGAGAGTATGCTCTGAGCATGTGCTCCGGGGGATACTGCCAATAAGTTTTATTTTAATTACTGGCAGCTATTTTGAAAAAGACAGATCAGTTACATAGGATCGTAGGGATCATTCCGGTATTTTTTTGAAGAGGCATTCGTTCTTGGGCTACGAGATAATTTAGTACGTGGTTCGGGCACAAAGAAGGAGATTAATTCGGATCTGGATTACCAGAGCAAACTGTACCTAGTCAAAAAGTAAATTTCTTTACAAAGAATAATCGTTCCGTGCACTTACAGTAAATGATCTAATATCTTGCAATGAATAAATTGTAACGTGCCAGAAAAGGAATTATCGTGCATTTCAAAAGAAAACTGTACCCTTTGATAGTTTACAATCGTACGCGGCCGAGGACAAATCCATTAAATGTGCAAGTGTACTATTTTTTACGCTAAAAAGGATTACTATTAAATTTCGGAGCGATTGCACGACAGAGGGGATTGATCTGTTTCGGAGAGAGTGACAGTAGATCCCGACAAGGTACAAAACAGTACAAAAATGGCCCCAACTAAAAGATAAACATAAAATACGAAGTTTCTTGGGCCTGTACGTACTGCATGCGATTTGTTCGTGAATTTGTCGTTGACCAAGTTCACCGAGGAACACAGAAATTTTAAATGGGATGATGGATGTACAAGCGGGCCTTTGAAAAGCTCAAACACGCTTTAGTTACGGCCCTGGTGCTCAGTTATCCTAGAAGAGAAAAGTACGTCATTTTCGTTACAGACGCTAGCAATGTCGCAATAGGTGCTGTACTATCCCAGGATGTACAGGATGAGAGAGCGATCTTATGGGCAGAAGGACCGACCATGCCGCATTGCAGTGGTTATTGCAAATTTAAGAGTCCAGAAGGCTAAGTGGCCAGGTGGCTGGAAAGACTGCAAGAGTATGACTTTGTAACTCCGCGTGGGATGACATCTTCACAATACCGATGCCTCATCTAGAAGACCATATCCTGAAGATTGTCGACACTGCTCATAACTAGAGCACAAATATGAAGAACAACACGATGATAAACTGGAAAATTGAAGAGAGGGTAACCTGAGACAAGGTAGCTCGATATAGTCCAGTTTTAAAGGCGTATTGGGCTCAGTGGGAGTCGTTACGGTTAGAAGATGGTCTTCTTAAGAGGATTCTAGGAAATGATCATAGCACGACCACAAATGTACAGCTAGTGGTATCGGGGAGAGCAAAAAGTCTGAAATACTACATCAGATACAGGATGGTATATCGGGAGGACATCTAGGAGTGACGAAAACCCTGGTTAAGTTGCGGGAACGATTCTACTGGGTAAATTGCAACCAAGATGTGAAGGAATGGTGCAGAAAAGTGCAGTTTGTGCCACAAGCAATGGACCAGTCTAATAGAAGAAAGCACCAATGAGACAATGCAATGTGGGTAGTCCATTTAAAAGAATAGCCATTGATATCGAAGGCCCCTTCTCGGAGACAGATTTTGGAAACAAATACATCTTGGTGGCCATGGGCATATGCGCTACCAAATCAAGAAGCGACAACCGTGGCAGACGCTCTGGTAAAAAAAACTCTTTAGCAAGTAGGTACCCCTGAAACTACACTTTCACCAGGGATGAAATTTCAAGTCAGCTAGCGATAGAATGAAAGTGTAGTACGTTGTGAAGGCACAAGCTGGAGGGTTTGATTGAGTCGTCCCCTTTCACGGGCTATCCCCGAAATTTCAAAGAGCTTGAGAGAGACCGTATAAGTCGTGAAGAGAATAAACGACTCAATATATCGGGTACGGCAACTACCAAGAGTAAAAGCAGTGGTTGTGCACATAAATCGGTTGGCTCCGGGGGACAGAACGAGCCCCGAGTATTGTCAACAAGTGAAATGTAAGTGGACCAAATCAATATAAAATGGTGTTTGTGCCGACTATCAGTGATCTAGCTGATTCTAGCTCGTATCAAGCGTAAATATTTTTCACAATCTTGGACGCAAGTCAATGTTTACTATATCTATTGACAATTTGTAATCGTCCAAAGCAAACATTTGGTTCCTTATCGTGTCGAAGAAGCGATGACTCAAAAACCCAAAAATTCGCCATGATCCACGGATATGGTCTTAATTGGCGATGTTAAAGCAAAAGCACATTGAACATTGACCTAATCCCAGAGCCATAATCAAACGCGGATTGCGTAGCCAAATATTAGGCAGTGGTCTCAGTGACGCAATCTCTGAAGAACTTGCACGTTTTTATCCCGTACGATGCATAAATGTACGGAATATCTTGGTTGAGATAAAAATGAGGAGAATTATCATTCACGCGGCAAAAAAGTGATAACCTTTTTTTAGATTCTACTGCGCGATTCACCAATCAACCTATAGGCTATACTTAACAGTCTTTTTGTGTACTTAAGCTGCAATTATCACATTTTTATCATTCTAGTGTAGATAGCTCGGCCGGATCCTCAAAATAGTTGAGTTTACCAATGTTTCAGAGTGAATGTGGTGAAGCATGTACGCGTATCGTTACCAAATTTTTGCATCGCTCTCAGGTAAACACATTAAGTTGGGTTATATGAAATAAGTCCAAGGTTAGAGGTTATCGTTTCGTATTGGTTACAGCGACCGTGAGCGAAATATCCGATGGAATGCAATATGGCTGGTCGGCACCGATCACCGCGCTGCTCCTGTCGGCGAGGAGCCCGTTTCCGTTTAAGGAATCCGACGTCGTTTGGGTCGAGATTAGTTTGCTGTTCGGCACCTTGATTGGTATTCCGATTACGGTGGTGCTTTTGGAAAGTCTCGGCAGGAAGACGTCGATTTTGGTGGCCACCGCGCAAAATTTGCTCGCGTGGGTTCTGATCGCGTTCGCGAATTCGGCAGGTGTTGTGTACGCGGCGCGGTTTCTCTCCGGAATCGCCGCGAGTGTCGTGTTCGCCGCCGCACCTGTGTACACGGCCGAAATTGCAGATAAGAAGATCCGCGGGTTCCTCGGCTCGTTTTTCTCCCTCATGATGATTGGTGGCATTCTGCTGGTGTATAGTATCGCACCTTTCATACCGGTCGTGTGGTCGTCGGCCGTCGGTGCCCTGTTTTTGGTAACGCAGTTGGTAACCTTTCCCTTTTTACCGGAGAGCCCATATTATTATTTGATTAAAGGTCAAAAACAGCAAGCTCGCCAAGCGCTGCAGAAATTGCGTGCGAGATGCGATGTTGAGAGTGAGCTCGAGGAGATTGCGGAAGCCGTCGATAAGCAAGAGGCCGAAAGGGGATCGCGCATGGATCTGTTTACTGTTAAAAGCAATCGGCGAGCTCTCCTCATTTTGGTGGTCCTCAACTGCGCACAACATTTGGCTGGAATTAGCGTGCTTCTTATGAATATCCATACAATACTCAGTGAAGCCTCTTCTGATTTATCACCCAGTACTGCCGCAATTCTATTTTCGTTAGTGATGTGGTTGGCAGCCCTCTTTGGCTCAAGATGCCTCGACAGATTTGGAAGAAGGCTAGTTTTGATGGTCTCGTGCATCGTAACCGGTACTACACTGTTAACCCTTGCGATTTACTTCACCGTTCAAGACTTAGACGTCGACATTAGCTCTTACAGCTGGATTCCAGTAATACTGGTACTGATATACGCAGCTGCGTTCAGATTTGGCATGGGTTTGGTTCCAATTGTGCTGACAGCTGAGATATTTCCAACAAGTGTGAAAGAAATAGGCGTCACCATAGCGGAAGCGTCATTCACCGCTTCTTCGTGCTTAGCAGTCTTCGTCTATCCCTATTTAACAAAGACGTGCGGGCTCAAGGCGCCATTTTACATTTTCAGTATCTGCAGCTTTCTTACTAGCGTATTTGTGTTATTTTTCGTACCGGAAACGAAAGGAAAAACTCTGGAAGAAATTCAGAACCTGCTCAAGGGAAGCAGAAACGACAGAAAATTGGTTACAAGCTACGGTACGATTAACTCGGCGAACGGTATTAACCAAGAACGGCAGTGGTCGTAGTGTAAACAGTATTTTGTAGTACGTAAATTATTACCTTTCAATTTGTTATAAAATAAATATTTTTGTAGCTACACTAGACTTCGTGTAGGTGACCAATCCTTTTGTTACAATCGATAGATGGCGGTTTAGCACTACGTTTTCTAAAGTCACTAAATATAGAAAGTACCGCAATCCATTGGGCTCGTGTGTTAGAGAGAGAACGCATGATTGTTGCCCAAAAATGGCGGAAGTTACAGATTCTAGTAACTTTAATGTTAGGGATTGTTCCACCTGTTTGGAGATATCTATATATATTTTTATAAAACATGACAGTACTATGAAGTTAGGTTATAAAAAATTACAGCTATTCAGATTTTATTTGTCAATTTTTTTAAGTTGGCAGCAAATTTGCCCAAAAATGGCAGATGATTGCGGCACTTTCTATATCTAGTGACTTTAACGTTTTCCAAATTAGATGTTTAATGTCAATACGGCAAGGCAAATGTGACAATAAACAATTCTTAGGGGAAACGAATATTGCCGGACTTATCGCACCCTCGCCCACCACATAATAAACAACTCCGTAAGGACACATCTACATATCGCGCTGCAGGCAAATGTAATCTAAACTTTATGCAGTTTGTCTCCTTAAAAGAAATAAACTTCGTTATAGCTTTAAACCAAAATGAGAGACAATAATTGAATTTTTAAGTTTTTCTTTCCTACTTTAGGCATACTTTATGTTCCAAAGTTAATAGAATTTTGTAACTTTGCGAGTGTACCTACCGCAATATAATGAATAATTCACAAACCCTGCACGTATTCAATCTGAAAATATTTGAAGGTGAAGGCATTTTTCAAATTAGAATGATTTTGATACGTGTCGATTTTTGTGTGTACAGTTAACGTGGAAAAATGACCACAAAAGAAGAGAGAAGTGTTACGGGTATGTTACTTACGAAGCCACTCTTCTTTATCATGATGCAATATAAGTTGCCTACCTTCACTTCACATACAGTGATTAATACATTTAAAGCGAGGTAATATGTAATTAATATAAATGAGTAGGTATATGGAAATATACACAAATGGAATGTAGAGAGATAAATAATGAATTAGTTCACTAGCGTGAGAGGTTCCACCCTGTATATATAAGAGAACTGGCAACCACGCAATTTATAGAAGGGAAAAGCTCTCTTGAGAAGACGAACGTTTGTTACGATGGTTTTTTGTGTTTTTAATGCAGGTTAGTAATCTTTATCATTTATTTATATTCTGTATACAACGTTTAATGTTGTGTTGTATATAATTTTCAATCTTTGTTTTTGAAATTGGCATGATTTAACCTCGTGTATGAAAAATGTCGTTAACTTTTTACTTTTATTGTTTGAAATCGTTTTCATTTTTGGTAGGTATAGGAAATTTTATAGTGTACTGCTTCATAGCGAAAGAGAACGGAAATAATATGCAATAGAATGCAGATAAAAGTCTAAACTTTACAGTGTTTCCGGCTCTAGAAACCGTCGTGACGGGGCATGTGAGGGACAATCTCCCCTACAATTTTATCTATGTATTAAAAAAGAGTGTACGCTGGTTTTGCGATTCAGAACTTCCAATCGGAAAATAGACTAGAAAAAATTTGGTGGGAGAGCGGAATTCTTAACCGAAGCTTCGCGAACATCGCGTAACATCAATTCGTGGTTGAACCTTAAAAGCGAAGCGAAGCGGCAATTCTAGATCGCGAAAAGTTTATGTTACATTATAAATCAATTTTAATTAAACAAATTTAAAATTCATAATAAATAATAAATTTCTCTAAGTAATGCTGCATTCCACAAAATTACGAGCTTCCCCACACCAAGGTCCAAATGTCTCTACTGCGAAAGGTATAAAAATATGGGTTTCTGTTTGTGAATAAACTTAAACAAAACGGCTACTTGTAAAAAAGTTAAAGACAATTAATTCACGCTTTTGTTTTCTGTTAAAACCCTAACATTTTTGACATTTCCACAATGCGGTACATCTTTAATTTATTACCGTGAATAACATAAAATTCAGGTAATTAAATTAAAGAAATCTGAAGCACGGTTTGTTCCTGAATCAAATTGTGTCAACCATCTTTCGCATTTAATTTTGAAAAAATAACTCAGTTCAACTGGTGTCAACACAAGAGGTCCGACCGTATTGCTCAAGGCGTTCGTTTCACTATAGAATTTTTCGATTTGCGGCGGCCTTTAACATTCTAACATTCCTAAAGAGGTCGACTTATGGAAGTTATCTCGTGAACCAAATTATGAACGGTTAATGAACCCAAACCAAAAATATTGTTAAAGTTTTCCTCCTTCATTGTAAAGTAGAATTTCAATACAAAACACCAGGTGAGAATGCTTTGAAACTTCACTTCTCCACTTTTATTGCACTTGAATCTCGATTTAGATGACACTGGGTTTAGTTGTGATTACAGATGTAAAATTGGCCCTTTCATGGTGGAAAAACTGCCTTTAACGAATAGTTGAAGACACCAGTCAACTTCTTCGTAAACCTCACTTTAAATTGACTTAAACGTTCACTTAAATAAGTACGTATTCGTTAAATCTCTTAACGCACATCTAACTTTCTCCCATAAGAACTTTACAACTGGTCAGACTGACTGTCTCGCGACAATACGCTCAAATACGGCTAACTGCCGAACACTAAAACAAAACATCTACGTTTCAACGTACACGACCTAAAAACAGCATCGGTTCACGCATCTTTCTCTGCTATATAAAACATTATTCCAGTTCCATACTCTTTCCTTAATTGTCTGCGCGTCTTCCAGTGACACTAACATGTTCAAACTTCGGAGTTAACACGCCCTTATCTTGAAATTAGCATACGCAGCGATAACCTGTAATCACAACAATCGGATTTTTACAAAAGAATAAACCTCATATTTTTAAACACGCCATTTGGTGTAAAGAAGTAAATGGTTCTCTTTCCTGGGGGGGTATTCTATACCCCCCAGACCCCGCAGTTGCCCATTCTCCACCAAAATATTTAGTGCTTTTAGTACTTATACTTTAATTTTTAGAAAGGGACAATCGAACGTAACACCAGAAGTCTGTGGGGTAGGGGTTAGTATGATGGGTGTAAAGAAATAAATCTTTCCTTTTCTGGGGGGTATTCCGTAGCACAGGGGGGCCTGGGTATTCCATACCCCCCAGTGGTCGAAGATTGTCTGATGGGTGTAAAGATTTAATCCTGAATAATTTTTGACGATTTAAAATTCTCCGATCTTAATCATGAACCAATTAGTGTAAGTTAATCAGGTAAGGAGATCAATGTGATTCAATAAGTGAAATCAACTACGTTTATTAGGAGCTCATATTTCGTAACGATTTGTTACTACAAGTTGTAGCAAAATTATGGCTCTGAAGAAGTAACAAATCGTTACAAAATATTAGCTCCTAATAGATGTAGTTCATTTCCCTTATTGAATCACATTGATCTCCTTACCTGATTAACTTACACCAATATTTGAAATATAAGGTGCTCAACAGTTATTTTACACCTCCTTGCATTCCTATGAGCCTGGTACATCATTTTTTTCAACGACAGATGATGCTAGACGATAAATTCTTGCATTCTGGGGTTAATTTACTTCTGATACAATAATTTTTGAAAATAAAGTTTGTATCAGGAGAACATCATACGGAGGAAGGTGCTCTATAGTTAATTATTATTGTCTTTTCTACAATTTCTTACATTTTTGATTTTTATGATCCTAATACAATGATTTTTTAATGAAAAATGTGTGACAGGCAAACGTAGTACGATAGCAAATGCTAAACTCACGATCTCGCATCCTTTAGGTCGTACAAAATATTTTTTGAAGCTGAAGGTTGTATAAGGAGAATATAATATCTCGAGAAATGCTGTACATGCCATTGCCTTTTTTACATCTTATTAGGTTCCTGATACAATTACTTTGTATCTTGAGCAGGAGAACTAATGCGATAGAAAATACTAGGCAACAATTTTCCTTCTGTCCTGGCCGAGGTCCTGGCACAGTATTCTTTTAAGAAAAAAATTGTATCAGGAGGACACTGAATTATTGCAACATTTACATCTTGAATTCCTTTGATCCTGATGGAATAATGTCTTGAAATAAACATTTTTAGCAGGAAAACAATACGACAGGGGATGCTCGAAAATTAATTCTTGCTTTTTTGCATTTTCTTGATTCCTGATACAAAAAATTCTTGAAAGGAAAATTTGTAGCTGGGCAAAATTATGTGATATCTAAGTTTTTGCTTTTTAGCGCATTTTTGAAAAAAATACGCTATTATATTCGTTATTGCTGGCAGGCCGGCTGTCCGCGTTAGATCTCCACAACTACAATAGCTAGAGACTTCAAATTTTCACTAAAAGCTTTCTGCTATAGTGTAGATCTGCAGGCACTAGTCTATTTTGAGTTAGATTACTTGTGAGATCGATAATTGAAGAAAATAATTTCGATATGGGTTTCGGAGGTGCTATAATTTTACCGTTAGATAGCGCTACCTAGTATAAAAACTTATTATTTACCTTGTGATTTGTTTTACAAAATGAAGACGTACCGTCAATTGAAATTAAATAAAATTAATTATTTAACGCAGCCAAAATTACTCGTGAGATCGATAATTTTAAACTTCGCTAATAAAATACTGACCTGCATTACCAAAAATGCGCTTTAATCATGCATATGCTGATTTACAACTTGTTTACATCCTTTTGGATGACCGTGGTACAATAACTTTCTGAAAAAATAATTTGTATCAGGAAAACAGAATAAGACAAAAGATGCGGGGCTATCATTTTCTTTATTACTTACTTGCATTTCTATGGTCCTGATACGATGCGATTATTTAAACAAAATTAACAACATTAAATAAATTGACCTCGAACTCAAACGATATGATCGGTTCTGCGTTTCATCTCAAATTAACCATACATTTACGCCTAAATAAAATTGAAATGCATCATACAGGCTGAGCCAACATTACTGTAGTTTTTTTAGTTAATTGATTAGTATAATTATACACGTACTCAGCCTTCCCGACTATCTGGTGTAGATCGTATAACTTAATAGGGATAATTTATCCCTATTGAAGAATATCCTGCACGAAATTTATCCTATTTTAAGCAACTACAACCCATCAGAATCCGATACACAAAGTGGACAGGGGTGGC